CCTAGAAAATGAATTCCATCATGCCTCTTTTTCTTAGTACATATCCTTTTTCTGCACATTTATTTATTTATTTGGTTAATTTATGTTTATTCCCTTTCTCCGAGTTCTTGTGCAAATATTCGATTTGGTTTTTATTTTTATTTTTATCCTATTCTAAATTAATAAATGAGTGTTGAATATATATATATATATATATATATATATATATATATATATATATATATATAGGCGAGAGAGTCTAGCAAAGAGCTGGTGGTGTTCCTGGTGGATGCTTCGCCCAAAACGTTCAGCATTACTTGTCTCGGGGTTTATACTTTAATTCTTCATTCTTCCTTTTTTTTTTTTTTTTTAGCTCTCTCTATGTTATATATATGAGTGGAATTGTTTAAGTTTTAATGGCTGAGTGGCTATTTATTAACAAAAAATTACAAGATTGAGATTGTTGTTTAAGTAGTGCAACGCATATTAGTGCTTCAGTTATAAATTCTTCATTATTGTAGAGTGAGAACTTGATTACATTTTTTAACAATCTTTTCTTACTCTGAGTTTGTCTTTTAAGTGTGTATTGTTGCTAAGTGAGTGCAATCTATTGAAAAACCAATGCTGCCCTTGAATTACTTGTAACTTCTCATTACATTTTTTTTTAGAATGTAATTATTAGCTTTTTGGAAATAAATTGATAAAAAGAATCAGTTACAAAAAATATATGTTGCATACATGCTGTAGATTACCTTTCTTTTTATTGTATTAATTTAATATTTATTATTATTATTGACTCTGGAGATTTACCATCACAGCCCACCATTAGTTCATGCCAACATTGGGACAACTTGGATCATATGTTATTCCAACTCTAGTCCTGATAGTTTTGATTTTGTTAATATTTCAAATGATGTAATTGTAAAAGTCTGGTGGTAATTGAACTGCTTGGTTTTTTCATCCTAAATGTCCCTACTTCAGTTTGTCTACAGAACCTTAAAATCCTATGTCTTACCTTTATAAATTTTTTGGATGAGGACTCCATTAATAGGCTCTTTCCTAGCCGCCCTATGCTTGAAATGTTGTTTATGTTTTCCTGTTCTTGGTCTAATATTGGTGCTTTTAACATTTTTGCTCTTGCTCTCAAGAGTTTGATTATAAATGATATAATATGTAGTATCAATACCTTTTCTTGGAAGCACAAGATTGTGCTTAATACCCCAAATCTTCAACACCATGAGCACGTTAACTATGTAGCAGAAGGCTATTCAATGAACAACTTAATGCTCTTGTCACGGCGAAAGTTGGATTATACGATAGCTCTGTTCAAGATAATTATGTGAGAACTTGTTGAAGGAATATCTAAAGTTAAGCAGCTTCATTTTTCTCATTTTCCCATACACGTTTGCTTGCTTAACTCTTTCTTATTATTGGTGATTCTCTTTTATTGCCAAATGTACTGACCTTGTGCATCTGTTTTACTAATTTGATATATCATTTCTGTTCTTTTTTGGAGTTCAATTGACTGTTTTACTTTTTTAACCGTGGTGCCAAGGTTTAGTTGTTTGACTTTTTTGAAGCTTGGTCGTTTTGATCGACGGGAATTGCTATTGAGGTTGCTTGAAAGCTCACCACAATTGGAAAGTCTTGTTTTTGAGGTAATCTGCGAGGTGTACTAAATAATTTGATTTAACGACTTTGATTTGTGGGGAAAATTATTTGAGTGAGCAAATGCTTGTTAAGTTCATTTATATTTTCTTTCTTGCTAGGGATCTTTACCTTATAAACACGACAATGATAATTGGGATCCACCTCAGGATGTACCTTCTTGTTTGTTGTTTCATCTCAAGGCAATCGAAATCAAAATATTTGATGGATTTGAAGAAGAGCTGAAAATAGCAGAGTATTTTTTAAAGAATGGTAAAGTTTTGAAGAAATTAATGATTCATATTTCTATGAATCCAGTGGAATCATTTGAAGTTCTCTCTCTATATATGTTGCGAGGAAACTGTTGATGGAACCGTCCCTCGCCAAATACAGTTGAAGCTCATATGGTTGTGTAATTGACCTAGTTTTGATTGCTTGTGTTTTCCTATCAAGATCATGTTTATGACACAGCTTTTCACTTGTTAATGATACTTCTTCCTCATCTCTTCACATTGAAGGGATAGTTTTGTTTCTCCTGTGCAACTTGTATAATGTATAAAAATTCTTTTCATGCCCAATTTGATCGTGACAAAGCCTACTTTATAGGCATAAAGATAGAAGGCTAGGCAGCCCAAAAAAATAAAAATAAAAATAAATAAAAAACAAGGTCTATACTAGCACTCTTTCGAAGAGCGCTGGTAAAAGAATCTATACCCAAAAAAAAAAAATTAAAATTGGGGTTTATACCAGCGCTCATTCAAAGAGCGCTGGTAAAGACCCTATACCAGTGCTTATTCAAAAGCGCTGGTAAAGACCCTATACCAGAGCTTTTGCAAAAGAGCTGGTACAGGGTCTTTCCTAGCGCTTTTGAAAAAGCGCTGGTAAAGGCAATTTATTGTGGCATCTTGGTTAAGCAACTCCTTTTTGTTATGAAATGGTTAGGGAAAATGTTATTTTACAAGTGATTGCCATGTTGCATCAGTGACGGGAGGAACTGTAGTTATTTAACAAACATAAAGCAAAATTTCATTTACGTGGCAAGTTGGATGGTTATATAACTGTTTTCAAACCAATGTTGAAAATTGGGTACAAATCAAACCAAGACGAAGTTTTTCAATAAAAGTGTACTGAAGTACACATTACATAAATGGAATAAAAAATACATGTTTTGACAGTTAAGGCTACAAGTGACATGTTCCTTATCTGTTTTGTCTATCTTATTTAACATACATGATTCTATCAACTGTGCTTTAATTCTTTATACCGGCACTGACTTCTTCTTTTTTGCAAGTTTTCCTTTTATTTTACAGGCCATTGCTAGGGTAAACCACGTTGTCGTTATGATCCGGTGTGATGTCCGAGTATCCACCTTGCTTGATTTTGCATTTCATTTCAAGTTGATAACTAGATGATATCGTAACTTGTTGTTCCTTATTTTTTTGAACTTTCACCAGCATTTTTGAGCACTGGTGAAAGCCATAACTGTTGTAGTATTACCACTAACTTGAGTATAATGTTTGGCGGCCGACGAGAAATGTCACTTGCCACTTATTTCTTTTGTAAAATTTTACAAGTGTTTGGCTATTAGCTAAGCGTGGCACTTGCCACTAACTTGATCATAATGTTCGGCGATCAGTTAGTAGTGCCACTTACCACTTATTTCTTTTGTAAAATTTTACCAGTGTTTGCCAATTGGCTAAGTGTACCACTTGCCACTAACTTGATCATAATATTTGGCGATCGGCTAGTATTTCTTTTGTAAAATTTTACGAGTGTTTGGCGATCAACTAAGTATGTCACTTGCCACTAATTCGATCATAATGTTTGGTGGTCGACTAGTAATGGCACTTGCCACTTATTTCTTTAGCCTATTACATGCAGTTTTAGAAAAAATTTCAACAACGTTTCTATTCAATAGCTCTGACCATTTGTCATTCGATTGACTTACACATTCAGGAGAGGATAGATAAATAATAAATAAGAACTGGTCGATAGCACCCACTTACTGGTAGTATCTCTTCAGATAGGTTGCATTCCATGGCCTGCTGATTCGCCTCCCGGCAAGTGTTTCCAGCCTATGTGCCCCTTTTTCGATTACCTCCGTTTCTCTGGATGGTCATTCCCACGGAGGTTCTAATACCTCAAAACCAATTCTTACTTTCTTAGTTAAAAAACAAATACGTTCTAAAATCTTTCTCCAAGACTAATAGGTATTACTTTGTTTTAAATTTTCCTTATATTGTAAATTTTTTTCTTTTATATATAAATTTAATGCAAGGAAAAAATTATCATTCATTAATTGGGTAAAGGTGGAATTTTTATTTTTATTTTTCTAGTGTATATAAATTCATGTATTTTAAAATTTTATAACAAATTGTCTTCTAATCATCAATTTTGACAATTTTTCATTTTTTTTTTATAAAATGTCAAAATACCTTTTAACGGAATTTTAGATTTTTTATTTTTTATTCAAAAATAAAAAAATAAAATATTTAGAATAAATATTTGATCGATACAAATTACGTACAAAAAAATAGCCAACAACACGGCAAACCGATGGTACCATCGGTAGTGAATGAGATGTATCACCTGGGCAAACCGGTACCATCGGTAGTGAATGAGATGTATCACCATTTTGTCATGATATTCTTAGGGTAGTGAATTCCAGTGTAGGACACCCCACTGGTGGGTCACGATTGGCAGTCTGTACTGATATTTTGTGACCCAGGGTCAACCACCCACATAACAAGGCGCCAACCACTTTCCCATTAAAATGCCACTGCCTTTCCATTCAGGGCACACCAATTTCTTCGTCGCCATGTGGACTTCACTTCCATTGATGAACACCACATAAAATTTATACCAAGAAATTAGGAACAGGTGAAGCAATAAAGCTTTTGGCTGTGATCTGGTCTTTCTACAAGCATAATGTTACAATTACGAATTTCTACAAACATAATGTTACAATTACGAATCTTGCCACACCCATGAGGAGAGGAGAGTGTGTGAAATCCACCACAATCATTATTTTATAGTTACACCATAGTCATCTTAAATACTATAAAATTACTTTTATAAAAAATACTCTCTTGTAATGATTACAGAATTCATCCGAACTTGTAAAGGTTATTCAAATTCATATTTCGTAATAATAATTTTTGTAATAAAATTCAGTGTTTTTGAAGGATGGTTTTCTTCTGATGCGTGTGACGTACTTTCAATTCAGTGCAGAAATTTCTTGTTGACATAAGGATGACTTTTACTTTCACCAATGAAATCTGCATTAAATATCTAAGCTAGAAGGGGCCGGATGAAGCAATAAGTCTTTTCTTTAAGAAAGGAAATCACATAAAGTTTAGCTTGTGGCTGTGATTTGGTCTTTCTCAACAGGTAACAACTTGGTGCATGTACAATAACTACAACATTGATGGTTTACGAAATATACTACTGAACTGCCAGGATTAAAAATAAAATAAAAAATCCAAGATATATGATTAGAGATCATATGTCCAAACAATATATGGAATGTTTATATATATATATATAGATATATATACACACACACATATATGATGGCATGAAAGAAATACTAGAATCTATGGATCTGCCACTGACTCGAAAGATGTGGCAAGGAATTTACTACTAGAAGTGTTGGATATTCACAATATCCCCCTTTCTCTTTCAGATCTTGCTATCTAAGTGCTTGGGGTGTTTTTCTATTTTTGTTTCTGCTAAGGTAGTGGTTTTTTCCACAGGTCCTTAAGCTTTTTCTATTTGTTTGTTTAGCTTGAATGTCTGTCTTCAAGTTTTCTTAGGTGTTTTTCTATTATGAGGGTATGCCCTTTGTGAATTTGTACATATTTTCCTGTTGGTTTATAGAATCACAATTATGAAAAAAAATAAAAAAAAATAATAATAAATGCAGGTATGCTGTAGACATTATATATATATATATATATATATATATATATATAGTTGTGTGCGCATATTTATTTACACACCTGTAAACACATCTATATACAGAACCCTTCGATCATGTCAACGCTCCTTTTGAGTACTTCAAATGCATACTTATATAAGTTTAGTTGTTCAAATTTCCCATAGTTGATCTTAGTCCATTGTAGAATGTTCAAACTTGCTACACTTCATCATAGGTATTTCCTGAACTGCAGATCGTATGAGTTGAATTCTGTGGTCATAATTTATAACTAGAACGAGACTCGTTAGAAAAAAATAAATAAAAAGACGACTTGGGTTCACACTATTAGAGAGAGTCTTCCACGGATTGCGCGCACTATGCAAGCTTGTTGGAAGATTTATAAATCATAGGACTAGATAAGTTTCTTTATGGACTTTTCTTCATAGACTTTTCATTCCACTAAAATAGACCAAGGATTCATTTGAAGTTAAAACCGCAAGTTACCTACAATAATTAGCTGGAGGAGGAGAGAACACAGAAGAAACAGAAAAGAGAAGATGGTAATTGCTATATTTTTCTTTCTTCTTCTCTCTACTTTGCATACACCATCAGCACAACAAACACATTCCAATATAAGCTTAGGTTCTTCACTAACACCCACCAGTACCAAGTCCTCCTCTTGGCTATCCCGTTCCGGTCTATACGCCTTCGGCTTCTATAAGGAAGCCGATGGCTATGCTGTTGGCATATTTCTTGCTGGTGGATTTCCTGAAAAGATGTCGTCGACTGTCGTCTGGACAGCCAACAGAGACGACCCTCGGCGGGTAGTCCCCAGCAATACCACTTTGCTATTCTCTGGCGATGGACAATTACTCTTGCGGCCAACACAAGGCCAAGACATGTATATAGCAACCCTTGACCAACCTGCTTCAAACGCTTCCATGCTTGATTCTGGCAATTTTGTCCTCTATAACTCCGATCAGCAGATCATATGGCAGAGCTTTGAGCACCCAACCGACACACTTTTGCCCAGTCAGCGCCTCTCAAATGGGGCAGAATTGTTCTCTAGTGCTTCGGACACTGACCACTCCAAGGGGATATTTCGTCTCGCGATGCAAACGGACGGACATCTTGTGCAGTACCCAGTTGATACTCCGAACACATTCCCTTACTCTTACTGGGGGTCTGGCACTATGGGAGCAGGAAGCAACGTGACCCTCAATCTTGATGATGATGGTTATCTCTACTTGCTAAACTCAAGTTCCGTCCTAAAAAACCTAACAACAGGAGGATATCCTAAAAAAGGAATGATGTATCTGATGAGAATTGATGTGGATGGTATATTCCGGCTTTATTCACACAGCTTGGATAAGAAAGGCAACTGGTCAGTTCCATGGGAATCTTCCAAAGACAAGTGTGATCCTAAAGGTCTATGTGGCCTTAATGGGTTTTGTACTACAATGGATGAGGTAGCTGATTGTAGATGTCTTCCCGGATTCGATTTTGTTGACCCGGGCAAGTGGAGTTCAGGCTGCGAGAGGAATTTCACAACACCAAGTTGCAAAGACAGTGAAGCGAATGTCGAGTATGAGATGACGCCATTACCTAGCACCTCGTGGGAAGACAATTCATACTCGGTGTTCTCGTCAGTCCCAACCGCAGAAGATTGTAAAAAGGCCTGTTTGGAGGATTGTAACTGTGAGGCTGCACTATACTCGGGCACAGAGTGCAAAAAGCAGAGGCTTCCTATGAGATATGGAAGAATATTGCTGACTGGTGACTCAACACTTGCTTTCATCAAGGTGGGAACATCTAAACACATCATCAATGGAGTCCCAGTTGACAAGCATAAAGAAACCAAGAAAGACCTAAGGTTGGACATTCTGATCGTCGGTATTTTACTTGTTGCTTTGGCCTTTGTTGTGTTAGTGATTTCTGGAATACTTATATATAGAAATCGTGTGTGGGCCTATAAGATGATCTCTGAGAAGGGGAATGTTGAATTCGGTGAGGATGTTGGTCCCAGAGCATTCACTTATGCAGAACTAGAGCAAGTAACAAATGGCTTCGAGGAAGAGTTGGGTAGCGGATCTTTTGGGAAGGTCTATAAAGGTGCTCTGTTGTCAGGTCAGAAAATGGTGGCTGTGAAGAGACTCGAGAAAGTGTTAGAAGAAGGGGAAAGGGAATTTCGAACTGAGATGAAAGTAATAGGGAAAACCCATCACCGGAATCTAGTCCGCCTGCTTGGTTACTGCCATGATGGGCCTAACAGGCTTTTGGTATATGAATACATGAGCAATGGGTCACTTGCAGATATACTCTTCGCGCCTGAAAATCGGCCGAGTTGGGATGAAAGAATCAGACTTGCTCTAGACATTGCCAGAGGCATTCTTTATCTGCACGAAGAGTGTGAAACGCAGATCATCCATTGTGACATCAAACCTCAAAACATACTCATGGATGAGCACGGGCATGCCAAAATTTCCGACTTTGGATTGGCAAAGCTCCTAAAGCCTGACCAGACTAGGACCTTTACCGGGATCAGAGGAACGAGGGGTTATGTTGCTCCTGAGTGGCATCGTAAACTGCCTGTGACAGTTAAAGCAGATGTTTTCAGCTTTGGAATTGTATTATTAGAGATCATATGTTGCAGGAGGAGTGTGAATTGGAGCCTTTCAGATGATGAAGCCGTTCTTGAAGAATGGGTTTACGATTGTTTCGAAGCTGGTGAGATGAGTAAACTTTTGTGTGATGAGCAGGTTGACAAGCGGAAACTGGAGAGAATGGTTAAAGTAGGTCTCTGGTGCATCCAAGATGAGCCATCGCTCCGCCCTTCAATGAAGAAAGTTTTATTGACGCTGGAAGGAACTGTAGACATCCCAGTACCTCCCAATCCTACTTCCTTTTTAAGTACCATGTAGTTTTCTTTTGTTAGTTTCTCTTTGTTTTCCGTTGATCAAATTTTTGTTGCATTAGTTTGTCTATGACCCAAAATTGTAATAAATTCGAATTAAGATTATTGATTAGAAAAATCAAAGGTATAGTTTCTTATCTCTAAATGAACATAGAGAACCAGAAGTGTTTACAAAATCAGCAAATACTCCATCATTGCTCTCGACCCTGTCAAAATACTCGAACTCATTAAATAGAGTTTCTGTCCTGCAACGTTTTTGAAAATAATATTGTACACTGAGCCTAAATAAAATAAAATTTCCAAGTAAACTTGAAATGGGTGCATGAAATCACAACTAGTTCTCTATTGGATTGCTAAAATATGCAGTAAAACAAAAGAAATCACAGTTTTGAGTCGTAATAGAATTGAATTTTACATTTTTTTTTTCCTCCAAAAATCAACAACTAGAACTTCAATAGATATATATATTTTTTCCTACACTTGATAATTAGACTCATAACCAGATAAATCAGGGCATCTTTAAAATGCTCAAGATGTAGATGGACTTCCCCGAGAGATTGTAGAGTCCGAAGGAGGTGATTCTCCCGAAGGTGTCGTCTGACAGACATTGTAATAGATTCGGAGCCATTTCAGGGCCTCTATTCTTCAGAATGTCGCCAATCACGTTTGCCCACCTTGCCTCTTCCCGCCGGTTGCCCCCTCCATGGCGTTCCGGTAAGCGCCCTTCGCGGCCTAAACTGAAACTGAACAATAAATTAAATGTGATGCCTTGTTCTTTTTTATTTTCAAAGGAAGCGATTTAATATCTTTTAGTTTTATAATAAAAACTCTAAGAATTACAATGATGAAAACACTTTTTTAATATTTTCAAGGAGAGTGGAGGTGTCGGATTCAGGGACGTGGGGCTTTGAACTATGCTCTTCTCGCTAAATTAGCTTGGCGGATGGAGGTGGGTGACAATTCTTTATTGTTCAATATTTTCAAGCAAAAATACTTCCCAGACCACTCTTTCCTTCAGTCCAAATGTAGCAACTCGGCCTCTTGGGTGTGGAAGGGAATCTCGGCTGCAAAGCTTGTGATTGATCAGGGATGGCAATGGCGTATTGTGGATGGATCAAAAGTTAAGTACAGAACTGACCCATGGCTACCAGATCCTATCAATCCTCGTATTACATCAAACCTTCCTGATAATCAATTTTCTCATGTTGCTGAACTCATTGATGGTGGCTCAAAACGGTGGAAGGTCGATTTGATTAGAAGCATTTTTAACAAAAGAGATAGTGATTTAATTCTTAAAATTCCCCTTCAAGAACAGGGAGGAATTAACAGTAAAATCTGGCCCCGTCTGGTAATGGTAAGTTTAGTGTCCGAAGTGCCTATTTTTTGGCTTTAAAAATTTTAAAAAGATCACAAGTATCTTTCACTGATCCTAGTAATAGTACCACTCATGCATTTAATGTTGTGTGGAAGGACATTTGTAAAATCAAAACCAAAGAAAAGATCAAGTTATTTATATGGCAGTGTTAACCTCCAGTCCAAAAAGATTGTTTCTGATGCGATTTGTTGTGTCTGTGGGATGGAAGAAAAGACAATTTCTCATATGCTTTGCAAATGCCCCATTGCCTAGGTGGTATGGAAAAGTAGTCCTCTCAAGTTGACTTTTCCAGACTCTAGTTCCTGTTCATGGCAACACAACTGGTTATATGGCATGATCATCAGGCCTTGGAAAATTGTCTAAGTCTTGTCTCATTTATCATGTGGCAGTTATGGAAAGTGAGAAATGATTGGCACTTCAATTGTAAGAAATGTCTCCCCACAACATCATTGATCGAGCTTTATTCAACTTCCATGAGTCTACTTTGGTAGCAAGAAGAACTGTTTCTATTGTTGGAAAATCTCCATAAAAAGATTCATCCAATTCTGTTTCTGGTCTTCTTTTTCTACTAGTTAAAGCTTTATGCTGTGGTTTAGCTTAAATTTATTCATCAACTGTTTCAGATGATTCTGAAGAGTTTTTTTCTTCTTCAGAGTCTGAACTATCAGTAAGAACATTGATTTGTTCCTCTAATTCATCATCGGATATCAGATTTATTTGGTATCTGAAAGTGGTTAAGAGATATTCGTATTGTAAGGAGGTATCCCTTATTTGATTGACGATGTGGTTTATTTCATTAATGGTTAAATTTGGTATAACGTATATTTATCGTAGACAGTTGGTTGTTTGTCGTCAATAAGGCCAAAATTGATGTGATAGTGAGTGCATGATTCAAGAAAGCCTTTTGGTCAAATTTCAATTTATAAAAGCCACTACCACTACTACTACTAACGTAACAAGAGTAAGTAGGGATCGTCCCAAGGGATTGCAAGGTATTCAAGAAATTAATGTCGGATTAGTAGATCGGATGATCAAGAAAGGTTTGTTGGTTGAATTAAACTAGTGGTTCAATTAAAATCAATGCAATTTAGAAAACAATCTAGAGATTATAGTAAAGAGAATAAGAGGAAGGTCTTGGGGCTTAGAATTCACCATTAAGCTTCACCTCACTAAACACTTAGTACTTTGTTAATTTAAGGGGGTTTCATGTTGTAAAATAAGTCTGTGTGCTATTAACCAAAATACTAAGCATGGATGACAGATTAAGCATAAAATGTCTAATCAATCTAATGAGTAGCACAACCTATTAAACTAAGCCATTAACCATTCAATGAAACCACAATTAATACACACAGAATCTAGAAAAATGTACCACTTGCACTTATAAGCACGGATCATAAAACAACCACAATGGATTGTCCACTTATCTAGGAAATTAAAGCAATTACACTACATCTAGACTAATGACATGAAAATTAAAATAAGATTTTGGAATAATCGATCAAGAAATAAGCATAATCCATCAAATAATCCACAAGAGTAATCAATTAAGTACCATGCCTTGACCATCACTAGATTCATAATTTTAACACACTTAGACATGCATTAAACTCATTAAACCTAATGTAAACATATAACCATTCATTCTAACATACATAGACATATGGATAGAAATAAAAGATCAATTGGAACAATTAATCCATACAAATCATGTGAAAACTCAAGTTCTATATAAATTAATGGTCAAAACATCATTTATAACATAAATCCCCAAAAATTACAAATAACCAAGGTTTAGGAGGCAAGCCTAGGGGCTATCTCTAGCCCTAAGAGAGGGATTTAGCCACTCATGGTCGGTGTCATCCAATCCTCAAGGGCTATATTCAAAATGGGCATTATCTTCCTCATTTGCCTTTGGTTCAAAACCCTAATTCTAGATAGAGGAAAAATATCTAAGCTAGAGACTATTTTCTACTAAAATTGCCAACTTTTACAATAATGGGTTCATTTGATTTAAATACAAGTTTCTTTAAGTAGGTAACAAGTCAGAAATAAGACATTTGATTGGTGCAATCTCGTAGCTACAAATGTTGGTGGATTTCAGGCGCGCTCGAGAATTAGACAGCATTCGACCAGCAGGATGTTCGATCGATCGAACTAGGCTTCGATCGATTAATCACTTACTTCGATCGATCGAAGCTGACGTGGCATGACACTTTTGACAGCTGGCTTCCTTATCCATTAGCTGGCACTACCTTCAATTGGATCGATAGAGGGGGACTTCGATCGATCAAAACTTCCTTCCTTTGATTGATCGAACCTTCACAGCGTAGATTTTCTAACTTTTTTTTGCAATTTCTCCTTAACTTCAAAATTAAGCTAATGTGCTCTTTTTAGCCTATTTGAACCTTATTGACCTGAAATAGATAAAAACACAAATAAGAACTAAAACATGAAAGTAAGATAGATAAATGGACACCGGGAGCAACCAGAGTACTTTACTACAAAAGTAAAGATACGTATTTCATGGAAACCACTGAGAATGAAGATACATGAAGTCAAAAACCAACTACGAACACAAGAAGTGTGGTTACACCAACAAAGTGACAAACGGGGAAAAGACAAAATAGGGAAAAAGACGAAAAGTGAATAGTGTCTAAAAAGTAAAAATATGGAAATGACTCGGTCCTCAAAGGAAGTTGTCAATCCAAAGAAAAGAGTCTCAGAAATCATTTCAGAGCACTCGAGATGACACTAATCGACAAGAAACCAAACTCAGAAGGGAAAAGACAACAGAAAAAAAAATTCGTAAAAATCTAAGAAGAATGAATAGAAGGAAAAAGATCGGGTCATTACATGCCTCCCTCATTTTTTTAGTTTCATTTTCCATCATACTGACATCCTATATGACCTTCTGGATTACAGCATCTGCAAGGAGAGGCTTACCACTTTACAGGAGAAAATGTGGAACAATGTTCCCTCAACCCCTGATTTACCAGCTGCCAAAGCCTGTACGATCTTTCTCTCGAAGCGATCTATATGGATGAGCTTTAGATCCTAGCATTCGAAATGAGGCGTAGTTCCTCGAGGTCCAATGCTTGTTCTGTCATTATTCCTACTACCACTGCTCATGCCAACTCTAGTCAGACTCAGGAGTCTGCCCAGGAGAGGGCTTAAGGGAAGAGGCCCTTATCTGCTAGGGACGATGAAGACCTAGACGATGTTCCTCTATCTGTGAGGCTGAGGGTTTTTATAGCGGCCGGTTTGCCTATTCAGAATGAAGGTCCTTCCTCCAATGATCTTGCGGGAGCAACCAGAGGATAAGGGGATCTTCTTCTGCCCCTTACCCCAGGGTTGTTGCGCACTGGGTGCCTAAGATGACTAGGGTTGACGGCTCCTTGGTGGCCCCTAAAGACACCATGTTCAAAGATAGCCTAATGGCTTTGGCCTGGTATAGCCATATGTGGTCCCCTCGAGATGTTCAGGTGCAAAGGGAGATCTTTAGGAAAGAGATGTTTAGCTAGTTTCTTCTTTTTGCCACGGAGGTAAAGCATTTTGCTCATTCTTTTTGTCTTCATAACTTTAATTTAACATTTTGTTTACACTAACCAAGACAGTGGCACCTCATCATTGTGCAAAGCCTCTTTGGTATGGCCACGATGCAGAGCGCTTTGCAGACGGTTGACCAGACGTAGGTGACTCTCACTTCAGCCTACAAAAGGCTAGATGTAGAGCTTAAACAGAGCATGGCCAAATTAAAGGCTGCAAAG